GAGCAGCAGGTCAGCCCTGCTTCCTGTGCTGGGAGCTCGGCACCAGTTTCTGTGGCAACAAGAGTCAGAGTCCCGCAGCTGCCGCCACCAGCCAGCCAGCCAGGACACTCCCTTGCCACAGGGCAATGAAATGGGTCCCAGATCATCTGGCCAAACCCTTTCTTCTCCTTTCCCCGAGGACCCGAAAGTCTCTTACCTGCAGGAGTATGGCATCGAGTCCAGGGCTAACCTCTGTTTTCTCTCCTTTGGGACGTTTTTTCTCTGTGCTATCCCACGACTTACATTTGCAGGATGGTGCTTTTCTCAATTATATATTTCTCCATAATTGTCCTTGTACCTGAACCAGAACTTTCTCTAAAGGAGCTGGATGAGTGGCATAAGCAGTCAATATCTACCACTGAACAAGCAAACATTAGGTAAAGAAGAAAGCACATCCACATAAAAGGATACCTAAATATACAAATAGATATAAATGAGCTTATAGATAACAACAACCCCAAGAGGTGCAATTATGATTCTTACTTCACAGATGATATTGAGGCTCAGAGAGGGTAAGCACGCCATCTAAGAGTACACAGCAAGCAATTGCAGAGCCCATCCTCCTATCCAGGCTGTAAAGCCCTTGTAAGGTGTCAGGATCACTGTACTTAGTAGGGCATGTGTATCATTTATGGGGAAAAAGAAGCAAGAGAGAAAGTGGAGAGAATTCTGTGCTGAAGTGATCAGGATGACTTTCACAGGGAAAGTGGGGCTTGAGTTAGTGTGATGGGGAAATTAGGGCACGCACCACAAGTTAGAGGAATGGAGCTAGGCACAGCAGTGGGCTGCTGCATGTTCTGGGACTGTAATTTGCAGAAGGGGACCTGGCGAAATAAGGTTGGAGAGATAAATGGAGGCCAGATTGCAGTTGCCTTGAAAGTCAATACATGGCATGTGGCCTTAATTATAAGGCAAGGGGGAGACCTGGCAAGGTTTTTGATCAAACAGTTGAAGAGAGCAGAGGGACAGCTTAATATGGTGACTGACTGGACTTGGAAGATAAAAAGAGGAATTTAAAAAACTAGTCTGAGGTTTAGTGTTTGGGTGACTAGAATAATTTTAGTTTTGAAAATAGAAATTGATATTTGGAGGTAAAATTTGCATCTTTGCAATAATTACACATATGGTTGGTCTTCAAGCTCTCATGGGATGGAAATTGCATTTTGCCTTCTCCATAAGCAATCCAGGAAAAATTTGCATAAGGCTAGACAAGTATTAAGAGTTAATGGAGGGCCGGTGCCAAGGCCCAATAGGCTAATCCTCTGCCTGCGGCGCTGGCACACCAGGTTCTAGTCCCAGTCGGGGCGCCGGATTCTGTCCCGGTTGCCCCTCTTCCAGGCCAGCTCTCTGCTGTGGCCAGGGAGTGCAGTGGAAGATGGCCCAGGTGCTTGGGCCCTGCACCCCATGGGAGACCAGGAAAAGCACCTGGCTCCTGGCTTCGGATCAGCGCAGTGCGCCCGCCGCAGCGTGCTGGCCACGCTGGCCATTGGAGGGTAAACCAACGGCAAAGGAAGACCTTTCTCTCTGTCTCTCTCTCTCACTGTCCACTCTGCCTGTCAAAAAATAAATAAATAAATAAAGTAACTTGTGGTTACTTTAAAAAAAAAAAAAGTTAATGGAGGCCGGCGCCGCGGCTCAATAGGCTAATCCTCCACCTGCGGCGCCGGCACACCAGGCTCTAGTCCCAGTCGGGACACTGGATTCTGTCCCGGTGCTCCTCTTCCAGTCCAGCTCTCTGCTGTGGCCCGGGAGTGCAGTGGAGGATGGCCCAAGTGCTTGGGCCCTGCACCCGCATGGGAGACCAGGAGAAGCACCTGGCTCCTGGCTTCAGATCAGCGCGGTGCGCCGGCCACAGCTCGCCAGCCACAGCTCACCGGCCACGGCGGCCATTGGAGGGTGAACCAATGGTAAAGAAAGACCTTTCTCTCTGTCTCTGTCTCTCTCTCTCTCACTCTCACTGTCCACTCTGCCTGTCAAAAAAAAAAAAAAAAGAGTTAATGGAATAGGGGCCGGTGCTGTGGCTTAGTGGATAAAACCACCACGTGCAGTGCCGGCATCCCATATGAGTGCCAGTTCGAGTCCCCGATGCTCCACTTCCAATCCAGCTCTCTGCTATGGCCTGGGAAAGCAGTACAAGGTGGCCCAAGTCCTTGGGCCCCTGCACCTGCGTGGGAGACCGGGAAGAAGCTCCAGGCTCCTGGCTTCAAACCGGCACAGCTCTGGCCACTGCGGCCAATTGGGGAGTGAACCAACAGATGGAAGACCTCTCTCTCTACCTCTCCTTCTCTGTGTAACTCTGACTTCCAAATAAATAAATCAATTTTCAAAAAAATTTTAATTGAATCATCAGAATCCTATAGATTGTTCTCTGTGGAAAAGTCCAGAAAGTTCAGCTATACTATGGGCATTTCCACAACAAGCCAGGTGCCTCTGTAACAATGCTTCCCTAAACAGTATGTTATGTGCTTTAAATTATTCCAAACACTTGCATAGTTTGTTACATGAATTACATATGTTTTTCTATCATAAGAACATGGAGTTTAATCAGATCCCCTATGTGTATAATTGGTCCTAACTACTGGACTTCAAAATACATAGAAATCCAGGATTTAGTTTTAAAGATTTATTTATTTGAAAAACAGAGTTACAAAGAGAGAGGAGAGGAAAAGAGAAAGAGATTCCATCTTCTGGTTCACTCCCCAAATTGCTGAAACAGCTAGGAGCCAAGAGCTTCTTCCAGATCTCCTATATGGTGTCAGGGACCCAAGCACTTGGAAACCTGGAATTTTGACAGACATATGGAGAGCTTAGGCTGCAGCAGGCTGCCCCCTGTCAGCCTGTAAACTATTCTCCAAAGCTGTAGCATCAGCTAACGTCACCACCACTTGGTCCTATCAAAGGACTTTGAGTGTCCTTGGGATCTCTGCTGTGCTGGCCAAACCATCTCTGCCAGGAACTGCTCTTAGAAAGTCACACCTCAAACTCCAGTTTGACTTCACAGTCCGTCCTAATTGAACAACTAGACTTTAATAACAGGATATGAAAAAGGAACTGGCGTTCGGTCACTATGTGCCTAATGTACCTCCTCTATTGAGTGTATAGGTGATTTTGTGAATGTTGCACTCATTCTTCTCCCCCTCTTCCAGCATGGTAAAAAACAAATCTCTCTGTAAAGCAGTACATGGTGTGATTTATGAAACCATACTCTACTCATCTCCTTATTGTAACCATAAAAAAAGAACAAGTGAGGAATTCCATTCTAGGTGTTCCTTTCTTGTTCTGTATTTATATCAGTGGGTGAGTGTCGCTCCCCCTCTTCGTGGAGGAACGACACAGGACCCTGCGTTGTTCTTTCGTCTGCTCGGCCCTTCCCGGGTTTGCTGCTGGTTCCTCCCGGGTTGGCTACCAACCCTTCCACCTCCGTGGAAGGGCGGTTCCCCCTAGCCACTTTCCCCACTTCCGTGGGGGAGCGGCACACCGCCGGCCAGCTCTCTCGGGGGCTGCACAGGTGTTCCTTCAGATAGATGTTCCTGGTGCATGTTGTCTCTCTCCTCCTTTATGATCCTCTTCCACCAATCCCAACTCTGCTACCCACATGCCGAGTACGCTGCTCTCCTCCAATCAGGAGCAGGTCCTACAGTTTATTGGTTGAACTAGAGGCAGCTGTGTAGAAGCTGTTACTCCCTTCTCAGCGCCATATTGTGGGAGAGCAGATGCATAGAATAAGTCTTAATTCCAGTAACAGTCTAGTCCGAGTTGCTCCCCACAGGTGAGAAAAACTTTCTGGTTAATGTTGGAACCAAAGCAAGTCTGATTTGCTGGAGGTATAGAAATAATTGTTGACCAGTAATTACATACCAGAGATCATCATTATATAATCTAGCTTTCCCAGATACTTCATTGTTTAAAATGATGTTGGGAGTTTAGTTGCTGTAGATATGCAACCCAGATGACATACTTTTAGCTTTTTCCTCCACAGAGGGAATTAATAATTCTACTCACACACATAAAATGCATGGGAAAACATACTTCATGCCAGCCCTGGCATACGTTATAAATATTCAACCAAACCAAGAGAGGTGCTTCATGTCCTGTAACCCTGGTTTTCATGGTTAAGTGAGTGGATCAGGGACAGGGCAGAAAAAGAGCAGTGGAAACTGAAGCCTTTCACGCTACCCCTTCTCCCACCTCCACACAGACAGAGAGAAAGCAGAAACATGAGAGCAAGTTCAGTGTACACCCTAGTTTTGCCACCTACTAACTGTATTTACCTTGAACAAGTTGCCTTAACCCTTCCTTTCTGTGTCATATCCTTGTCCAGAAAAAAAAAAAGTTGAAAACAGTCTACTACAACATTAAATGCCATCTGCAAAGCAGCTAGTGTAATGCAAAAACATTGAGGAGACCCGTAACTGCTAGTTCCTTTTCCCTTCATCTCCCTGGGCAACAGGAAGCAGCAGAGGTATTTGGGGTGTTCTGGCAGGCATCTGAGCACAGCCTAGGGCTAAGGAATCCAAGAAAAGCCTAAATGGGGAGCCTAAGTCTGGGGCCAGGAACCTGCAGAGCTGGACTGCAGGGTCTTAGTCCACCCCAACAGGATGGACTGGGTCCGAAGAAAGGTAAGTGCGCCGCTCGCCCGTTCCCCAGCCTCCCGATCCTGGAGACAGACAGACGCAAAGGGGAGTCAAGTCAAGCAAGCAAGAACTTGGTTTATTGCGCGCGTAGCAAAGCCTTTTAAAGCACAAGACCGCAGTATTACTGGGGCAGGGCATAAGGACCAACCAATTACTTGAAAGGTCATTTTACGGGGCGACTTTTTACAGGACCAGCCATATGTCTGTACACTCATCATCAGTTGTCACCTCCCCTGATGCTGCGCAGCCAATCAGCTTTGGTGGTAAACGACCTTTGGGTACCACCCACCTTACTTCCTTTGGGCGCCATCTTTGAATTGCCTCCTGTGCCTAATTTCCCCACACTAGATGGCAATTTGCTAGGACAGAGCTGCAGGGTAGGGGGATCATGAAAAGGTAAATGGATCAGAAGTGAGGGCCCAGGGAAGACACCAACCCCTAGAGATCCGGTGAAGAAGAAGGGAATTGTGTGTATTGAGAGAGGGTATAGAAGTGAGGGAGGATTAGGGAACACAGTTGTGCGGGTGAGTGCTTTCAATACAGAGCCAGGGCAGGAAAACCTTCATCCTGAGACTACAATTCAAGGACATACTCCCGTGAGAAAACTGGCAAGAAAGAGACCGTGGTTTGGTGACAAAAACAAAGACCCAATTATCAAAATTGAGGTAGAAAATAGAGCAAGGTCAGAGCTGGGTAACAAGATCAGATCGGGAGGAACAGTTGCCACATGGTGCTGAGTCACTGTGACCTGACGCTGAGTCGGCAGAAGATTGGCCCTCTTGATTTGTCCCACAGCCTGGGTAGGACAAAGTGTGTGGACGGCAGCAAGAGCAGGAATCTAAGCTTGACATTAAAAGGGCAAAAGCTCCAAGAATCTTGTTCTCAGGGGCTCTCCAGTGAGTAGCAGAAGGCAAACTCCTCACTGTTCTTGCAGTCTAATAAGAAATGTGCAGCAATAACAAATATACAAAAATACTTCTGCTTCACGCTCACCTGAGGAATGGATTGAAAATAGTGTTTCAGCACGCCCAGACGTTCAATGGGAATCACTTCTGGAGATAAAGGAGAGCAAGTCAGCTGGATTGAGTAAGTCTGATGCAAACTAAAATCTGGTAGCTAGTCTGTCAGAATGTAAACCACAGAAGGACATTGATGCTTACCTTGATTTGCATTTTACATATCGGGCCTGCCTTAATTGGCAGTTTCCTCCCCTCACTCTCTCCAGAAAGTAACTAGACTAAGGCCAGCGCCGCAGCTCACTAGGCTAATCCTCCGCCTTGCGGCGCTGGCACACCGGGTTCTAGTCCCGGTCAGGGCACCGGATTCTGTCCCGGTTGCCCCTCTTCCAGGCCAGCTCTCTGCTGTGGCCCGGGAGTGCAGTGGAGGATGGCCCAAGTGCTTGGGCCCTGCACCCCATGGGAGACCAGGAGAAGCACCTGGCTCCTGCCATTGGATCAGCACGATGCGCCGGCCGCAGCGCGCTGGCCACGGTGGCCATTGGAGGGTGAACTAACAGCAAAGGAAGACCTTTCTCTCTGTCTCTCTCTCTCACTGTCCACTCTGCCTGTCAAAAAATAAAAGTGACTAGACTGCCACCATATGGGTCTGAGACTCTGAGGGAGGTTCAGGTAGGTCCTGGTCCTGTGTGCATTGTGTAGTAACATATAGAGAACACAGGGTATGCCATTTAAGTGTAAAATTCAGCGGCATTAACTGTGTTGTCCACATATCACCACCAAGTGTTTTCCTCCTAACAAACTCCGTACCCCATTCTCCCCTACCTCCAGCCCTGATAATCTCTACTTTCTACTCCAGTGGACTTGCTTGTTCTAGATATTTCATATAAGATTCTGGCTATTTCATGCAGTATTTGTCCTTTTGTTGCTTTATTTCCCTTAGCATAATGTTCCGAAGACTCATCTGGGTTACAGCATGTATCAGAAGCACAGTCCTTTTAGTGGCTGAGTAATACTCTGCCATCTGAGTGTGTGCGTATATCAAATTGTATTTATCCACTCCTCTGTTGGCACATGAGTTGTGTCCACCTTTTGTCTATTGAGAATAATAGTGCTATGGACATTGGTGTACAAGTGTCTATTTGAGTCAGTCTTTTCCATTTTTTTGACTGCATACCTGGGCATGGTCCTATGGTCATTCTGCATCTGAATTTTTAAGAAACACCAAACTGGGGTTTTTTTTTAAAGATTTATTTATTATTTATTTGAAAGTCAGAGTTACACACAGAGAGAAGGAGAGACAGAGAGAGACAGAGAGAGGTCTTCCATCGCTGGTTCACTCCTCAACTGGTGACAATGGCCGGAGCTGAGCCAATCCGAAGCCAGGAGCCAGGAGCTTCTTCTGGGTCTCCCATGCAGGTGCAGGGGCCCAAGGCGCAGCTGGGTCTCAAACTGGTGCCCATATAGGATGCCAGCACTGCAGGTGGTGGCTTTACCTGCTACACCACAGCGCCAGCCCCACCAAACTGTTTTACACAGCAGCTGCATCCTTCTACATTCTCTTTAGCAACATACAAGGGTTCTTATTTCTGCACATCTTCAGCAACCCTTGGTATTTTCAGTTTTTTGATAATAGCCATCGGAGTAGATGTGCACTGGCAGCTCGCTGTAACTTCGATTTCTGTTTCCCAAATCACTAATGCTATTAACATTTTTCTTGATCTGTTAGCCATTTGTTTATTTCCTTTGAAGAAATGTTTATGCAAATCCTTTGCCTGTTTTAAGATCGGGTTGTTTGTCTTTTTGTTGTTGCATTGTAGGAGTTCATTATATATTTTAGATATCAAACCTTCCAAGATATATAATCTGCAGATGTATTTCCATCCTGTAGGTGGTCTTTTCACTTTTTTTTTTTATTTTATTTTTTGGCAGGCAGAGTGGACAGTGAGAGAGAGAGAGACAGAGAGAAAGGTCTTCCTTTGCCATTGGTTCACCCTCCAATGGCCGCCGCTGCCGGCTCGCTGCAGCTGACGCACCGCACTGATCGGATGGCAGAAGCCAGGTACTTATCCTGGTCTCCCACGTGGGTGCAGGGCCCAAGCACCTGGGCCATCCTCCACTGCACTCCCTGGCCACAGCAGAGAGCTGGCCTGGAAGAGGGGCAACCGGGACAGAATCTGGCGCCCCAACTGGGACTAGAACCTGGTGTGCTGGCGCCACAAGGTGGAGGATTAGCCTAGTGAGCCGCTGCGCTGGCCTTTTCACTTTTTTTTAAAGTTTGATTTTTTTTTTTTTTTTTGAAATGCAGAGTGACATACAGAGAGATAGTGAGAGAGAAAGAGCATCATTGCACTGGTTCATTCCCCAAATGCCCACAATTGTGAGGGCTGAGCCAGGCCGAAGCCAGGAACCAGGAACTCCATCAGGGCACCCACATGGGTGACAGAGACCCAATTGCTTGAGCCATCACCTGCTGCCTCCCAAGGTGTGCATGAGCAGGAAGCTGGATTGGAAGCCAAGTAGCCAGATCTCCAGTATAAGATGCCGGCCTCCCAAGAGGTAGCTTAACCTACTGCACCATAATACCTGCCCCATGTCTTTTCACTCTTGAAAATGTACTATGATGCACAAAAGTTTTTAATTTACCTAATTGTAAGTCTGTGTTGAACACAACTCAGGGGCCGTGGTTTGTAACTGAGCTTGGAAGCAGTGACCTCAGCTCGGGGTGGCACGGGGAAGCGGGTGAGGAAAGCAGCATGGAGGGGAGGTCTGGGAACCGTGTGTCTGTCACAGAAGGAGCATCCTCTTTGCTCGGGGTGTGTGGGAGTAAAGGAACAGCAACAGCGAAAGGATGCTACACCGCTGTCTATTGAGGTCCACAAAGCATATTTATTGTGACAAAATAATAAAGCCAAGCAAAATGCCGCATGTAGGTGCTAAAGAAACAAACTGCAGCACATTCAGCTTCTTTCTCTTGAGGTACCAGTATATTTACTCACTGTCCCAGTGAACCGTTGTGAGGGCAAACAGAACGCTTGCTGGCCAGCCAGTGGCAAGGGCACGTGTTCAAAGCATATGCTTTTGTGTCATTTTAAGAATCCATTGCCAGCTGGCACCGCGGCTCACTTGGCCTAATCCTCCGCCTGCAGTGCCGGCACCCCGCGTTCTAGTCCTGGTTGGGGTGCCAGATTCTGTCCCGGTTGCTCCTCTTCCAGTCCTGCTCCTTAAAGCCAGGAGCCAGGTACTTATCCTGGTCTCCCATGGGGTGCAGGGCCCCAGCGCTTGGGCCATCCTCCACTGCACTCCCTGGCCATAGCAGAGAGCTGGCCTGGAAGAGGGGCAACTGGGACAGAATCCGGCGCCCCGACCGGGACTAGAACCCAGTGTGCCGGCACCGCAAGGCGGAGGATTAGCCTAGTGAGCCGCGGCGCCAGCCTGATTTTTCATTTCTGTGGAAAAAAAAGGAGTTGGAATTTTGATAAGGACTGTGCTAAGTCTATAGAAAGCTTTCAGTAGTATTGCCATCTTAATATTAAGTCTTTCAATCCATGAACATGGAATATTTTTTTAATTTAGTTAGATCTTTTTATTTGCATCAAGGCTTTGTAGTTGTAGTTTTTCAATGCAGGTATTTAAAAAACAAACAAAAAATATTTATTCATGTATTTTGAAAGGATTACAGAGAGGCAGAGACAGAGAGATAACTCTTCCATCTGCTGGTTCACTCCCCAGATGCAGCCAGAAGCCAGGAGCTTCTTCTAGGTCTCCCATGTGGGTGGGAGGGGCCCAAACTCTTGGCCCACCTTCCACTGCCTTTCTCAGGCTATTAGCAGAGAGCTGGATCAGAAGTGGAGCAGCTGGGAGATGAACTGGCATCCATATGGGATGCAGGTGTCACAGGCCGAGGTTTACCCGCTTATGCTACAACACCAACGCCAATGCAGATGGTTTGTTAAACTGTAATCCTTTCCTTGATTTGCTTAGGATGGAACATTTTAGCTCAAATGAGAAAGGAATGAAACTTAGAAAAAGAGTAGTCAGCATTTTATTCGTTTTGATGGCATGCAATCATGAAAAGATGGATGGGCCACTCAGTATTAAACCGGCATTTATTGATGATTCTGTTCTGAGCCCTGGGCTAGGTGCTTGAGGATTCCAGATTTCCGTAAGCTTTAAATAGTGTAACTATCAGGTATAAATCTAAAAAGTGATAGGTTAATAGGAAGTGCTATAAAGTGGCCTTACCTGGAAAGCTGAAGAATAAAAATGAAGCAAATGAGTACCATGAGGCAGGTTAGGCTGCGAAAGGTGTCAGTGGGATTTGTCAGAGCAAAAGGGAAGAGTTGTGGGCAGGTGGTGCAGTGGCTAAGTCACTGCTTGAGATGCCCACATCCCATAGTGAAGTCCCAGCTACTCTGCTGCTAATCCAGCTTCCTGCTAATGCACACTCTGGGAGGCAGCAGGTGAAGGCTCAAGGAATTGAATTCCTGCTACCCGTGTGGGATGCCTGGATTGAAATCCTGGTTCCTGGCTTCCCCCTGGCCATCCCTGGCTGTTGTAGATATTTGGGGAGTGAACCAGTAAATGGAAGATCTCTCTCCATCTGTCTGTGTGTGTGTGTGTGCGCGTGCACGTGTGCCTTTCACATGGAATCAAAACAGATAAATAAATAAACATTTTTTTAAAGGAGCATTTGGGAAAGAGGATGCGAATGAAATTATGGACTCTGCATGTTGAGGAAACATCAAGGCCCCTGAAGGGTGCTTGTGTGTCTGTGTGTGTGGGGTGGGACATGGAGGGTAGGGGGTCGTCAGACACCTGGAGATTACATAGAGGTAGGAGCAGCCAAGTCATCTGTGATTGTTTAGCCAGGTCATCCATCTGCACAATTCTTTCTTAAACTTTGAGGCAAGTATCTGTTGATACATTCCTTTTAATACCTGATAACACAACTAGAAAGTAGTGCCCTTGGGAAAACAGAGTAAAATCTGTAAAGTTGGCTGGCACTGCGGCTCACTAGGCTAATTCTCCACCTAGCGGCACCGGCACACCGGGTTCTAGTCACAGTCAGGGCACCGGATTCTTTCCCGGTTGCCCCTCTTCCAGGCCAGCTCTCTGCTGTGGCCAGGGAGTGCAGTGGAGGATGGCCCAAGTCCTTGGGCCCTGCACCCCATGGGAGACCAGGAGAGGCACCTGGCTCCTGGCTTCAGATCAGCGCAATGCGCCGGCCGCAGCGTGCCGGCAGCGGCAGCCATTGGAGGGTGAACCAACGGCACAACGGCAAAGGAAGACCTTTCTCTCTGTCTCTCTCACTGTCCACTCTGCCTGTCAAAAAAAAAAAATCTGTAAAGTACGTAAGAGTATTTTATCAATGTTAACTCACTGCTTTTGATCATGTTCTATGGTTATAAGGGAAAAGGTCCTTCTTAGGAGATACACATTGAACTGAAAATTGATCCCTGTTAAAAATAGAGTGAGAATAAGAGAGGGAGGAGATGTACAGTTCAGCACACGATCACTTGGACTTACCCCTAATGATAGAGCTAGAAATGTGCCATGGAATTCCAAATCCCATAAAGTTGGCATGTACCAATGCCATCTTACTAGTTAAAGTGATCAGTTTAGTTCAGAATTGATCATAAAGATAGGATTAAGTGTCAAAGGGATCACATAAACAAGACTAGTGTCTGCTAATTATAACTGATAGAATTAAAAAGGAGAGAATGATCCAACATGGGAAATGGGATACACAGCAGACTCATGGAATGGCAGATGCCCTAAACAGAACTCTGGCCTCAGAATCAGCCCTTAAGGCATTCGGATCTGGCTAAAAAGCCCATGAGAGTTTCTCAGGTATGGAAAGCCAAGACACTCTGGCAAAAAAAACAAGAAGATTAAATGAAAATGAAAGATTTCTGCAAGTGAGATCCCAGTGGAAAGAACAGGCCATCAAAGGAGGTACCTTTCTCTGAAGGGAGGAGAGAACTTCCACTTTGATTATGGCCTTGTCTAAATAAGGTCGGAGTTTGTGAACTCAAGAGGCTTCCATAGCCTTGGCAGCTCATGACAAGAGCCTCAGGTTATTACTGATGTCATAAATAAGAGTGTCAAATTGTTAAATCAATAACGGGAGTCATGGTGCACTTATTCCCCATGTAGGATCTCTGTACCTGATGTGTTATACTATGCAAATTAACAGTAAAACTATTCAAACAGTACTTTATACTTTGTGTATCTGTGTGGATGCAAACTATTGAAATCTCTACTTAGTATATACTAGGTTGATCTTCTGTATATAAAGATAATTAAAAATGTGGCTGGCACTGCGGCTCAATAGGCTAATCCTCCGCCTGTGGCGCCAGCACACCGGGTTCCAGTCCCAGTCAGGGCGCCGGATTCTGTCCCGGTTGCTCCTCTTCCTGTCCAGCTCTCTGCTGTGACCCGGGAGTGCAGTGGAGGATGGCCCAAGTGCTTGGGCCCTGCACCCGCATGGGAGACCAGGAGAAGCGCCTGGCTCCTGGCTTTGGATCAGCATGGTGCGCCGGCCACAGGGCGCTGGCCGCAGCGGCCATTGAGGGATGAACCAACGGAAAAGGAAGACTTTTCTCTCTCTCTCTTACTGTCCACTCTGCCTGTCAAAAAAAAAATGAATCTTAATGAAGAATGGGATGGGATGGGATGGGATGGGATGGGAGAGGGAGTAGGAGATGGGATGATTTGCGGGTGGGAGGGTGGTTATGGGGGGGGGAACCGCTATAATCCAAAAGTTGTACTTTTGGAAATTATATTTATTAAATAAAAATTTAAAAAAAAAAAAGAAAAAGGAGATACACATTTAAGTATTTAGGGGAAAGTGGCACCCCCCCACTGCAACTTACCTTCAGATGGCTCAGAAAAATAACACGTAAATAAACAGAACCAGAGACAATCATAAAATAAATATGGTAGAATGTTGACAGAAGGAAAATCTGAGTCAAGCGTGTAGAGATATTTTTGTGCTATTCTTACACCTTTTTTACATGTCCGGAATTAATTCAAAATAAAAATTCCCCAAAAAATCAATCCTGTCTCTCCTGTAGAATACAAACTCATTCTTTTTTTTTTAATCATTTAATATGCATTTATTTCAATATGTTTTCTTTCTTTTTTTAACTTTTATTTAGTAGATACAAATTTCCAAAATACAGTTTATGGATTACAATGGCTTTCTCCTTCCCATAACTTTCCTCCCACCCGCAACCAACCCATCTCCCATTCCCTCTCCATTCCATTCACATCAAGATTCATTTTTGATTATCTTTATATACAGAAGATCAATTTAGTATATATTAAGTAAAGATTTCATCAGTTTGCCCCCACACAGAATACAAAATGCCAAATACTGTTTGAGCACTAGTCATATCATTAATTCACATTGAACTACACATTAAGGATAGAGATCCTACATGGGGAGTAAGTACACAGTGACTCCTGTTGTTGACTTAACAAATTGACACTCTTGTTTAAGGCATCAGCAATCTCCCCAGGCTCTAGTCATGAGTTGCCAAGGCCATGGAAGCCCCCTGAGCTCGCCGACTTTGATCTTATTTTGACAAGGCCATAGTCAAAGTGGAAGTTCTCTCCTCCTTCAGAGAAAGGTACCTCCTTCTTTGATGGCCTGTTCTTTCCACTGGGATCTCATTCGCAGAGATCTTTCATTTAGGTGTTTTTTGTTTTTGTTTTTGTTTTTTGCCAGAGTGTCTTGGCTTTCCATGCCTAAAATACTCTCATGGCTCTTCAGCCAGATCCGAATGCCTTAAGGGCTGATTTCTGAGGCCAGAGTACAAACTCATTCTTACAAAAAGAATTTTTTAGGGGCTGGCACTGTGGTGCAGTGGGTTGACGCCCTGACCTGAAGCACCAACATCCCATATGAGTGCCGGTTCGAGACCTGGCTGCTCCACTTCTGATCCAGCTCTCTGCTGTGGCCTGGGAAAGCAGTAGAAGATGGCCCAAGTCCTTGGGCCCCTTCACACACGTGGGAGACCCGGAGGAGGCTCCTGGCTCCTGGCTTCAGATCAGCACAGCTCCAGCCATTGTGGGCAACCGGGGAGTGAACCAGCGGATGGAAGACCTCTCTCTCTCTCTCTGCCTCTCTTCTCTCTATGTAACTCTAACTCTCTGACTTTTGAACAAATAAATAAAATCTTTAAAAAAAAGAATTTTTTAAATCTAAAATGTTTCTTGGGGCAGCATTGTGGAGCAACTGGTTAAGCCTCTGTCTGTGACACCAGCATCCTATATGGCTGCTGGTTCGAGTCCTGACTGTTCCACTTCCTATCCAACTCCCAGCTAATACTCCTGGGAAGGTGGTAGAGGGTGGCCCCTGAACCCACATGGAAGACCTGGCTGGAGTTCCAGGCTCCTGGCTTCAGCTTGACTCAGCCCCAGCTTTTGCAGCTAATGGCCTCTCTGTCTTCTCCCATCCTCTGTAACTCCTTTTTTTTTAAACTGAAAGTATGTTTACATGCACAAAAATCATCTGAAAGGAAACTAAACTGTTTATCAGGAACTCCATCTAAAGAGTAGAGCTACTCTACCATGGCCTGGGAAAGCAGTAGAAGATGGCTCGGGCCCAGCATTGTGGCTCAGTGGGTTAAAGCCCTGGCCTGAAGCGCCGGCATCCCATTGGGCGCTGGTTCTAGTCCCGGCTGCTCCTCTTCCGATCCAGCTCTCTGCTGTGGCCTGGGAAAGCAGTGGAAGATGGCCCAAGTCCTTGGGCCCCTGCACCCATGTGGGAGACCCGGAAGAAGCTCCTGGCTCCTGGCTTCAGATCACTCAGCTCTGGCTGTTGTGGCCATTTGGGGAGTGAACCAGCAGATGGAAGACCTCTCTCTCTGCCTCTCCTCTGTGTAACTCTGACTTTCAAATAAATAAATAAATCATTAAAAAAAAAAAAAGAGTAGAGCTAGATGGAGAAAAGGAGGATTTAACCTTTATTTTATACATTTCTGTATTGCTTGAATGTTTTATCAAGAGTATTAGTAATTTTGTAATTAAAAATAAAACCAGGGTGGGAGTTCGGTGCAGCAGTTGATACCGTTTGGGATGCTTTCGTTCCACGTGAGAGTGTCTGGGTTCGAGTTCCAGCTTTGGGAGGCAGCAGGTGATGGCTCAGGTAATTGGGTCCCTGCCACCTATGTGGGAGACTTGGATTGAGTTCCTAGTCCCTGGGTTCAGCTTGGCCCTGCCCCATCTCTTGCAGGCATCTGGGGAGTGGACCAGCAAATGGGAGTTCATGTCTGTCTGTCTGTCTGTCTGTCTCTCTCTCCCCCACCTCCTTCAAATAGGTTACATAAATAAAATAAAGATTTTTGCCAGCGCCACAGATCACTAGGCTAATCCTCCGCCTAGCAGCAATGGCACCCCGGGTTCTAGTCCTGGTGCGGGCGCTGGATTCTGTCCCGGTTGCTCCTCTTCCTGTCCGGCTCTCTGTTGTGGCCCGGGAGTGCAGTGGAGGATGGTCCAAGTGCTTGGGCCCTGCACCCCATGGGAGACCAGGAGAAGTACCTGGCTCCTGCCTTCGGATCAGCACGGTGCGCTGGCCGCAGTGGCCATTGGAGGGTGAACCAACAGCAGAGGAAGACCTTTCTCTCTGTCTCTCTCTCTCACTGTCCACTCTGCCTGTTAAAAAAAAAAAAAAAAAAACCCTTAAAAATAAAATAAAGATTTTTAAGAATAAAACCACAAAAGACATTAAAAAGCAAAAGGCCTGAAAACCTAGCAGTAATCAATGATGGTAAAGGAGCACCTTTCTATTTTGTTTTAAGGTGAGACAGTGATAAGGAAGTAATTTTTTACATCTTTATTGATTTTTTTTCTTTAAACTTATCTTGAAAGGCAGAGAAAGAGACAGAGACAGAGATCTCCCATCTGCTGATTCACTCCCCAAAAGCCCACATCAGACAGCTGGACCAGACCAGAGCGAGAAGCCAAGAACTCAATCCAGGTCTCAAGGTGAGTGTGAGGGACCCGACTACCTGAGTCTCCCAAGCTTGGCAGTAGCAGGAGACTGCAATCCGGAGTGGATCTGGGCCTGAACTCAGGCACTACAACGTGGGGTGTAAGCGCCCCAAGTAGCATCTTAAAAGCCAAGGGCGGCTGGTGCCGCGGCTCACTAGGCTAATCCTCCACCTGTGGCGCTGGCACTCCGGGTTCTAGTCCCGGTTAGGGCGCCAGATTCTGTCCCGGTTGCTCCTCTTCCAGTCCAGCTCTTTGCTGTGGCCCATGAAGGCAGTGGAGGATGGCCCAAGTGCCTGGGCCCTGCACCCCATGGGAGACCAGGATGAGCACCTGGCTCCTGGCTTTGGATCAGCACAGCGCCAGCCGTAGCAGCCATTTGGGGGTGAACCAATGGAAAGAAGACCTTTCTCTCTGTCTCTCTCTCTCTCACTGTCTAACTCTGCCTGTCAAAAAAAAAAAAAAAAGAAAGAAAAAAAAAGCCAAGGGCAAAGCTGGCATCCCATGCGGGTGCTGGTTCATGTCTCCATTGCTCCACTTCTGATTCAGCTCCCTGCTAGTGCCCTGGGAAAAGCAGCAGAGTGTGACCCAAGTGCTTGGACCCCTGCCACCCACATAGGAAACCTGAAGGAAGCCCCTGGTCCCTGGCTTCTGCCTGGCCCATCACTGGCTGTTGCAGCCATCTGTTGCAGATGAAAGGTTTATCTATCTATCTATCTATCTATCTATCTATCTATCATCTATCTCCCATCTCCACCCCATAATGCTTTCAAAATAAATAAATAAATCTTAAAAAACAAAAACCTGGCCAAATGCCTACCCTGAGAGATATTTTTAAATTAAAGAACAATAAATATTTTATACACACATAAAGATCAGCAATTATGTGTCATTATTGGTGTTTAATAAGAATTATTTTTTATAACCCTGAGAAACTTTTTTCAGAAACTAGAAGCTCAACAATCTTACACTGTTATCCCAAACCTGTGCTCCAATCAGTAAGGCAAATCAAAGAAACTCTTTGCATAATTTAAGCTAAAAGCCCACACCTTCACCTTAATTACTGCCTGCATTTTGCCAAAGCTAAGGTTGGTTCTGTTCAGAATGACTTGTGTGGGCTGATATAAAAAAAATTATAGCCTGTTCCAGTTCCTGTAGCCCAACTGCATGATCAAACTGAATCAAGTACTCTTTAAAATAATGCACTTAAAAAAGAAAGAGAGGGAGAGAAAAGAAGTGCCACTTCATCTTTGCATGGATGAGAAGGAACATATAAAAATAATATCATTCAACTAGTACCCAAACTCCTGCCCATGGCTTCAGAATAGAAAGCCATCTTTTCTGTTCCGGAGAGAGCCAGAGAAGTCAGGTAAAGTCACAGAGCAACATATAATGGGAAATATCTCATGCCAGGCTCAGAAGCTTCAGATGAATTTTTCAACCTCCTCTATACTGCTTTCCCCTGCTCATTCCTGCTGCCTGTGATTCCACTGTCGGGGTCCTTCTGATATGTGTTAAGGCAGGCAGCTGGTGAGGGGGTGGTTCCTTAGCATGTGCGCAGGATATTTAGTGCAGAATCAGAGCCTTCCCTGCTAATGGCCTGGATTGTGAACCCCCAAGACTCCACAGAAGAGAGAGGTACCTTGCTCAATTGACCTTACTTCTGATCCATTTAATAAATGAGAGCATGGGGGCCGGCACTGTGGTGCAGTAGGTTGAGCCACTGCCTGCAGTGCTGGCATCCCATATGGGCACAGGTTCTAGTCCCTGCTGCTCCTCTTCTGACCTAGCTCTCTAGTATGACCTGGGAAAGCAGTGGAGGATGGTGCAAGTCCTTGGGCCCCTGTACCTGCATTGGAGACCTGGAAGAAGCTCCTGGTTCCTGGCTTTGGATCAGAGAAGCTCCAGTATGTGGCCATTTAGGGAGTGAACCAGCAGCTGGAAGATCGATCTCTCTCTCTCTCTCTCTCTCTCTCTCTCTCTCTCTGCCTCTCCTTCTCTGTCTGTAACTCTGCCTCTCAAATAAATAAAGCTGAACCAAAAATAAATAAATAATAAATGATAGCATACTTTTTGGCTAGGTCCTTTGTGTCATGCACAATATTATCTGTTGATTCTTGATGTATTTTTTGTACTAAAATAGGCTCATTATATAAACTCTGGACATGAGTAGGTTTTTTGTTTATTCTTCTTTTAAAAAAAGAGGAAAAAAAACTATAGAAGAAAATCCCTGCTCACAGGTTGGAATTTATTTCAGTTTTTAAAAATTCCAAATATTGGCCAGCGCCGCTGCTCACTAGGCTAATCCTCCACCTAGCGGCGCCGGCACACGGGGTTCTAGTCCTGGTCGGGGCGCCAGATTCTTTCCCGGTTGCCCCTCTTCCAGGCCAGCTCTCTGCTGTGGCCCGGGAAGGCAGTGGAGGATGGCCCAAGTCCTTGGGCCCTGCACCCCATGGGAGACCAGGAGAAGCACCTGGCTCCTGCCTTCGGATTAACGCAGTGCGCCGGCTGCAGCGCGCCAGCCGTGGCAGCCATTGGAGGGTGAACCAACGGCAAAAGGAAGACCTTTCTCTCTGTCTCTCTCTCTCACTATCCGCTCTGCCTGTCAAAAAACAAAAACAAAAAAAATTCCAAATATTAACTTGAACATAATATATATTTATATATTGTTATATGTAACATTCAATTTAATCTGTTCTATACTTTAAAATATATGTAAAGGAGAAAAAATATATTCTGTAGCTTAAAATGAAAGAAAAGGAGAAAAAACTATAGAAGAAAATCCCCAATCACATGTTGGAATTTACTTCAGTTGTTTCAATATGAGAGGCCAGTGCTGTGGCAAAGCAGGTAAATCCGCCATCTGCAGTGCCAGCATCCCATATGGGCACCAGTTCCACTTCCTATCCAGCTCCCTGCTCATGTGCCTGGGAAAGCAGTGGATGATGACCCAAGTGCTTGGGCCCCTGCCACTCATGTGGGAAACTGAGAAGAAGCTTCTGGTTCCTGGTTCCTGGTTCCTGGCTCCTGGCTCCTGGCTTCGGTCTGGCCCAGCTCCTGCTGTTGAGCCATCTGAGGAGTGAACAGCAAATGGAAGAGCTCTCTGGCTCTCCCTCTCTCTAACTCTGGTTTTCAAATAAATAAATGCATTTTTTTAAAAATTACATACATGAAAGTTAAGCATCATATATATTTATATATTATGTTATATATAGTATTTATTTATAATTATATATTATACATGTTATGTAACATATTTAATATATTCTAGAGCTTAAAATGCATGTATTTATTCAAAAATCATTTATTTAATACCACAATGATGTTGAAGAAAGAAAATTGCCCCTCTTAAAAAACCATAAACTATCACTATTTTCTTGACTTTTTTCTTAAGAAAAGGGACAATAGGAAATCACCTAACCATATTTATCATGCTATAAGATAATAGACTTTTTAAAAGATTTGCTTATTTTATTTGAAAGTCAGAGTTACAGGAAGGCAGAGAGAGAGAGAGAGACAGAGAGAGAGAGGTTTTCCATCTGTTGGTTTACTTCCCAAATGGCCATAATAGCTAGAGCTTCTTCCAGGTCTCCCATGCAGGTGCAGGAGCCCAAGGACTTGGGCCATATTCTACTGCCTTCCTGGTTTGAGTCCTGGCTGCCCCACTTCCAATCCAGCTCTCTTCTATGGCTTGGGAAAGCAATAGAACATGGCCCAAGTACTTGGGCCCCTGCACCCACATGGGAGACCTGGAAGAAGTCCTGACTCCTGGTTTTGGATCAGCTCAGCTCTGGCTGTTGCAGCCATCTGGGGAATGAACCAGTGGATGGAAGACCTTTTTCTATGTCTTTCCCTGTCTCTGCCTGTAACTCTACCTGTCAAATAAATAAATAAAATCTTTTTTTTTTTTTTGACAGGCAGAGTGGACAGTGAGAGAGAGAGACAGAGAGAAAGGTCTTCCTTTTTTACGTTGGTTCACCCCCAACGGCCGCCCCGGCAGGTGCACCACGCTGATCCGAAGCCAGGAGCCAGGTGCTTCCTCCTGGTCTCCCATGCGGGTGAGGGCCCAAGCACTTGGGCCATCCTCCTCTGCATTCCCGGGCCACAGCAGAGAGCTGGACTGGAAGAGGAGCAACAGGGGCAGAATCCGGCGTCCCAGCTGGGACTAGAGCCTGGTGTGCCAGCGCTGCAGGCAGAGGATTAGCCTATTGAGCAGCGGTGCCGGCCATTAAATAAAATCTTTAAAAAAAAGTTTCTTGAGGCCAGCATTGTGCTTAGTGGGTAAAGCCACTGTCTGCAGTGCCGACATCCCGTATGGGAGCCAGTTCGAGTCCCAGCTGCTTCACTTCAGATCCAGCTCCCTGCTAATGTGCCTGGGAAAGCAGCAGAAGATGGTCCAAGTCCTTAGACCCCTGAACTTACATGGCAGACCTGGAAGAAGCTCCTGGCTCCTGGCTTCAGATTGACCCAGCTCTAGCTATTGCAGCCATTTAGGGAGTGAACCAGTGGATGGAAGACCTCTCTCTCTCTCTGCCTTTGCCTCCCTAACTCTGACTTTCAAATAAATCTTTTAAAGATTGATTTGCAAGAGTTACACACAGAGAGAAGGAGAGAGAGAGGGGGAGAGAGGGGGAGAGAGAGAGAGAGAGAGAGAGAGAGAGAGAGAAGAGAGGTCTTCCATCTGCTGGTTCACTCCCCAAATGGCTGCAATGGCTGGAGCTGGGTCAATCCAAAGCCAAGAGCCAGGAGCTTCTTCCAGTTCTCCCCCGTGGGTGCAAGGGCCCAAGGATTTGGGCCATCTTCTACTGCTTTCCCAGGCCATAGCAGAGATCCAGATTGTAAGTGGAGCAGCCAGGACTCAAACCCAGGTCCATATGGGATGCTGGCACTACAGGCGGTGGCTTTACCCGCTACACCACAGCAGCAGCCCCAGTAACAGATTCTTTTGGGCAAATTTGCTAAATGATGCACAAAAATAATAGAAACTTCTTTCATTA